TTTCCTTTAGCTAAGTCTTCTCTGGCTCCCCAAAATGCCTTCCAGAATTATGTTTCATCTCTAGACTCTTTAATAATTTACAGCAGCCCCTTCTCCAGATTCCTGAACCCTTCTAGATGCACTGGGGTCAGGCCGATGAGGACTGAGTGAGACAGGCTGGACATGCCCTGGAGCCCTCCCGCAGTCCCTCCCCAGCTGGCCAACCTCCTGTGTCCCTCCCCGCCCCGAGTGCACTAGTGGGGTCCCTTGGCCTGGCCTGTGCCCTCTTGCAATCCAGGACCCCTCAGGGGATATTGGAGAGCCGGTTTTGGCCTGATCCCGCAGGCCAGGCCAAGCGACCCCACTGATGCACGAATTTGTGCACCAGGCATCTAGTTTATATATAATTCTAGAAAATTCACATTGCAGATTGTAGAATTTGGTGATAAAAAGTACACCACTGGTTTCCCAGGGATTGAAGGAAGTGAAGAGGGATGGGAGGGTTTTACCAAAGGAAATGAAGAAACTTTTGGGGGTGATGGATATGTTCATTGTCTTGACTGGGGTGATAGTTTCAAGACTGTATACAAATGACAACACCCATCAAATTGTGTACTTTTAACATGTGCACAATATTACATGTCAGTTATACCTCAATAAAGCTGTTAAAATCAGAGAAGTAGGAACTGATCAAGTACCATACTACTGAGAAGTTAAGAAACATAAGGACTGAAACTTGTCCGCTAGATTTAGCATCATATAAGTCACATGAGTGACATTGTGGAGAACAGCTTCAGATAAATGATGGGTGGAAGCCTGATTGGAATAGGCTGAGGAGTGAGTAAAAAGAAAGTGTAGCCAACTCCTTCAAGCCAGAAAGAGAGAAGTTAGTATCAGGAGCTCTAGGTGGGATGGTAGGAGCATTTTTAAAGAGAAAAACATTTAAGATAAAGGGGAGTTAGGAGATAATTAATTGAGTCAGGCCCTGAGAAGAGGATGGGCTAGAGAGAAATTAATCTTAGGAGGAAAGGAAGATACGATGAGCATAAATTCCAAAGACTTACAAACTTGTTACCAGGATAATAAAGAATTGTCATTCTGATGGTGTGTGTGTGTGTGTGCCCACGTGTGCATATGTGCACCAGAAAACTTGCTGAAATTGAGGGGGGTAGGCAAGAAGTTTAAGAAGGGTAGCAAATGTTTGAAATAATTATTGTGAAGATTAAGGAAATAAAAACAGATTGACAGTTTTATTGGAGGCCCTAGGTGATGTTGGTGGCTATGTACAGGGTGGGACAAAAGTAGCTTTACAGTTGTTCATATGGAAAATAATACAGTAATTAATAAATAACAATACAAGAATAAACTCTGTGTTTCACATACTAACAGCTGTAAACCTACTTTTGCCCCACCCTGTGTTTATAATGGCATCAACATGCAAGGGATGCAATTTTTCTTTAGCAGTTGTCTTCAGCCAGCTGCACAGAAAAGACAGACGGGTTTATCAGCCTCTGGGGCGGAAAGGCAAAAGGGCCAGGAGGCTGAGGATACTGGTAAGAGAATGACTGAAATGATGAAATCTCGGTTGGATAATTCAAGTAATTGATGACAGTAGGGACTTATAGTTGTCCGTAGGTCCTCCTGGGGTTAAAGAGCTGCTTTGTTGGAATTCATGCCACACGAGAGCTAGGTGAGCAGGGCAGTAGCAGGTCTGAATGGAGGACTTCAGAGGTGGATGGTTCCAGGTACTGGCAGACTGAAGGGCAGGGATGAGTAGAGGAGAAAGTTCCTGGAGTTGAGGAGGTCAAGGGCCTGAGGGTCTAGGGATTTGCTGGCACATCTGTAAAGGTAATGACGCCACTATAAACATGCGTGTACAAGTCTCTGTGTAGACATATGTTTTCAGTTATTTTGAAGCTATATCTAGGAATGGAATTGTTAGGTCTTATGTTAACACTGTGTTTAATTGTTTGAGGAACTATCAGACTGTTTTCCAAAGATGCTATACTCTTTTACATTCCTACCAGCACTGTATAGGGTTTCAATTTCTCCACCTCCTAGTCAGCACTTGTTTCTGTCTGCCTATTGATTTTAGTCATCCTGGTGGGTGTGATTTACATTTCCTTGATGACTAATAATGCTTGAGAGTCTTTTTTTGTGTACTTATAAGCCAATTTATTATTGGAAGCATTTCCCTGGATATATGTCTATTCTGATCCTTTGCCCATTTTTAATTGGGTTATTTATAATTTCATTGCTGAGTAAAGTCAAGTCAAGATTTTGAACCCAGGAAGTCTGCCCCCACATCTGTAGGCTTAGCTCTCATGCTCTCCTGCTTCTTGCTATGCATCGTGGTTACAAAGTGGTACAAATTTTGTTACTATTTATGCTACGTAAGAAGTTGAGTGAAAAGTCATTTAAAAGCTGGAAAACAGTTCCTTTTAGAGGTGAAAACATCTTGGTTTGGGAAAATATGCTTATAGCACCTTCAGGAAGGAAGGGTAAGGGGAGACAGTTGAATAATTAGACATAGCTAAATTTAGACATAGTTAAATTGCCTCATATGAGAAAACAAAGGAATTTGGCAGGGCAGGGGTGGTGGTGGTTAGGTGAACAATCAAAAAGGATAGAAGACTTAAGAAAAGAGTTAACATGGAACAGACTGTTGAAT